ACCTGGGACCTGTCAGTCCCCGGGCCGATGCTCTAACCACTGAGCAACTGGCTAGGACGTGGAAAGGACCTCTTTAAGATCACAGAGCTTCAGACTGATTCATTCCATTCTCCTTCGGGCAACAACTGCTAGTCTTAGGTTTTCTCCACCTTCAAATCCTTCGTGAAGAAGACGGGGTCCCTGAACCCAACCCACAGGTCACCCTGCAGTGTAGCGGCTGCAGACCGAGGGCCTTGGAGAAAAGTTGGGGGAAGGGCTTAATGCTCCATCCCAGGTTCCTCCCTCACTGCCCCCAGAAGCCTCCTCACCCTCTGTCCCGCCCACACGGTGGCCCAGCCTGCTGTGTGTCCCCACGGCACTGCGCAGTCCACCCGGGGGGGCGACCTGGCAGGAGCAGTGAGGCCCTGTGAGCTCCCTGTTTGTTTCTGTCTGTCCTTAGCTTCCCTGTGAGCCAGGACTGTCTTCCCCACCCAGGGATCTGAGCTGCCCGGCAGGAAGCTGGCACATAGCTGGTACTTAGCCCGCTTGGGGGTTGGATGGGATGCCTGCTGAGAGACATGCCCTTTTCCAGACACGCAGACTGTGTGTGCAGGGAAAGGACAGGAGTTCTGGGACCAGCTGTAAAACACCTCAAAGAAGGACAAATGGGAGGAAAGGCATAAACCAAGCAGATGTGACCCAAGGAGAGAAAACAAGTCCCTGGACTATTCCCACGTTGTCAGCAGAAGCTAGAACCCAACACTGACGCAAAGCAAGCGCCTTGAAATCAATATTTTTACTGATTTCAGAGAGGAAGGGGGAGGGAGAGAGAGAAAAAAAATCAAGATGACAGAGAATCATTGATCAGCTGCCTCCTGCACGCCCCACACTGGGGATCAAGCTCACAACCTGGGCCTGTGTCCTCAGAATCAAACTGTGACCTCCTGGTTCATAGGTCAACGCTCAACCCCTGAGCCTCAGCAGCGGAGCAAAACAAGCCCCTTTAACTGAGATGCTGAGATTGATGTCCTGACTCACCTCGCCATAAATTCAAAAGGATCCAATTTAAATAACCTCAACACTGCGTACGGAGAAGGCTTTCTCGCTTTAGAACTCGACAAATACCACTTTGCTGACTTTCGCTTAAATAGATAATGATCCACTTCCTACCACAGGCAATTATGAGTAAGACGGAGTATAAATTTCCTTAACACTAAATAGTTGAGTTGTCATTTCTGTGTGAGTCAAATTGCTTCTCCTATAAAAACTTTAATCTTTTTCTTTTTAAGACAGATTTGCAACAGAGGGCCCAGCAGTCAAATTCTCCACACCCTTGTGTTTGAGAAGCTCACAATCACGTCAGCTACGCCTTCCAGCACTCCCTGCCCCGCCCCCTCCTTCCTGAGAGCCCCGGGGAAGGGGACCACTGCCCAGGAAAAGGGAGCAAAAGGGATTGAAACTCCCCGCAGACAGCAGCACAGAGGAGCCAACAGGACAGCAAGCCCTGAGGGCAGGGCCGATGGGGGGGGGGGGGGGGAGACCCACTGGCCACAGGGCCAGCCAGTATTCGCCCCGGGCCTGCATGTCCCCTCGCTCCCTGAAGGCCACCTGACAAGCCCCGCCGCCCACCCTGCGGCTCGCTCCTCAGGGGACTCTCCCCTTCGCGGGCTCCCGCTCCTGCCTGGCCACCTCCCCTGCGCTCTGCGAGGCCCAGGCCCTACCTGCTAAAGGATTTGGGGAAAATGTTTTGGAGTAATTTTGGCCAAAAAGAAAAAGAGACGTTATATGTCTTGTGCTCTCAGCCAGGGATACGGCGAACGAGAGTCCACGCGGCAGCCTGGCCGCGGCCGTCTCTGTACACAGAGCCCCGCGGCCCGCGCCTGTCCGCACGGAGTCCCGCCCTGAGCAGCTGGGGCTGCCCCGAGGCCACGGGCCCTCAGCCCAAGCACGAACCCGCTGGCCCGGACACAGCCGGCCGCTGCCCGCACGGGCGCGCAGGGCAAGGGAGCCAGGCCGTACCTCTGCTGAAGTCCTGCGGGTCCAGCGACAGGCTGTAGCCGGGCAGCGTCTCCAGCAGCAGCTGGTAGCAGGCCCGCCAGCCGGGCTCGGCGATGCTGGGCGCCACGCACTGCATGGCGGCCACGCGCTTGAAGAAGGCGGACTTGCGGCGGAAGCCGATGAGCTCGTAGAGCTCGGAGAGGACGCTGTAGCGCTGGATCTTCTCCTCCTCGGAGAGCTGGCGGAGGGAGAGGGGGCTTTACCGGCAGGCCAACGCTCTTCTTCAGGCAGATGAGACGTGGGGCCGGAGCCGTGCCCGCAGGGCGGCAGGACAGCAGAGGAGTTGGTGGGCAGAAGCCCTGTCCCTCTGAGGCCACCGTCCCTCTGCAGGAGAGGCCCACGCTCCCAGGACAAAGACATCTGCTGCACAGGATACACACACACACACACACACACACACGTACATAGACACACACACACATACACATGTATGCATACACGTGCACACATACGCGTTGTATGCATGTACTTACAGACGTACACATACTTACACACACGTACATAGACACATACAGATGTACGCATACACGTGCACACATGTGCGTCGTACACATGTACTTACAGATGTACACATACTTACACATACACATACACACACACACACACACATACACACACACACAGCATCGGCTTCGAGCTCCTTCATCAGACACGGGGATGTGGCGGGGGCTCTCAGCAGATACAGAGCTCGGCCCGCACAGCAGGCAGAGCCGGTGGCCCGGTGGCTGTCAGCACAGCGGCCTCACTGAGAGGAAGCCTTACAGCCAGTCTCCCAGCCCCGGACCCAACCACATGCTCTGACCACCCTGTGGGTGATGACGTCTGTGTCTTAGGCAGAGCTCTGTGCCAGCAAACACAACGCACCTCTCTCATCCCTGCAGCGATCCCATGAGCTAGCCAGGAAACACGAAGCTCAGAGGGGAATCAATCGTCTGTGCCAGCCGCACAGCCAGGAAGTGCCAGGCACAGCATGAGGGGTCACCCCCAGGCCCACCCGCCCCCTGCAGGCCACGTGCCCACGGAGGCGCTTCTCCCGCTGCCGCCTGGCCCACCACCCCGCCCGCAGGGGGCTCTGTGAGGAGGGAGGCACCGTGTGGCTCCCTGCCAGCTGCTCTCCCTCCGGCCCGACCCCGTCCTCTCCCCTGCCCCGCCACCTGCCCCGCCACGCCACTGCCAGGCCCCACATGGGCCCCATTAGCTCTCAGGACCTGTGTCTTCCTCCCAGCTTCCTCTACCCCCTCCCTCCAGACATTTGCAGCTGCCAGACAGGATTCCGATGTCACCGTCAAGGCCTGTCAGCCCCTCTCAGACACACCCTTGACATGGAGCTCCAGTGCCTTCCCTGGCAGGCCAGGCCCGGAGCCCACCAGCCTGCCCCTGCACCTCCAGGGCCCACTGCCCACTGTGGGCATTCCCCACGTGCCTGGCAGTGTGCTGAGCCCTTCGCGGGCTCTATTCCGTTATTTAGGACTGGTAACAATGCCAGGAAGGAGCGGATGCTGTCCTTCCCAACATGCAGACGCACAACAAGGAGCACTCGGTCGGTCCGGAACAAAAACCTTGTGAATTTCAGAAAAGCTGCAGCCCCTCTACTTCGTTACTGTAAAATCCCAGCAGGACTCATTAGTTTGCTGTCTGCTCATCTGGCAAGCCAACTAAGGCCGAGCGTGATGCGGGAACAACACTCACCCCACCTCGGCACCCGCTGCCAGGCTGGCCTCAGAAAGCCTGGTGCCGTCCCTCTGGCGGGTCTCTGCTGCCGCCTAGTGTTCAACGTGAGGATCACGCAAACAGAGCCAGAGAGCCTTCCAAACAGCAGCCAGTCCCCACGTTTTAAGTAAACAGCCCAGCGTTTCAGTCGGGGCCCACCACGAAAACCCAACTTAGCGAGGCTAGCAAGTCTGTGGTTTGGCATTAGCAACCCGTAACAAAATGTCCTCGTGATGTTGTCTGATTAAAAACACACCCAGGCCGGCACCGGTTTGGCTCAGTGGATAGAGCGTCAGCCTGTGGACTGAAAGGTCCCGGGTTCGATTCGGGTCAAGGGCATGTATTATACCTTGGTTGCGGGCACATCCCCAGTAGGGGGTGTGCAAGAGGCAGCTGGTCGATGATTCTCTCTCATCGACGTTTCTAACTCTCTATCCCTCTCTCTTCCTCTCTGTGAAAAATCAATAAAATATATTTTTAAAAAATAAAATAAATAAAATAAAATAAAAACACACCCAGGTTCCATAGAGGCAGCACTGCGGAAGCTGCTGTGTGAAGAAAACTGACATCCTCCAAGTGGAGGAAGGTAACAACCCAGACAGGGCGACAATGGCAGCTGCGTCACACGTGACATCGTCAGGGGAAAGATCGCAGTGCTGGTCAGAGGCAAAGTTGCTTCTCTGAGCAAAAATTAAAAACTTGGAAGGAGAGCGAGTCCTGGACGTGGAAAGTGAAATAAAAATTAGCATGAAGCAGCAGCATGCCTGGCTGGTGTGGCTCAGGGGTTGAGCGTTGACTTATGAACCAGGTAAAGATTCGATTCCTGATCAGGGCACATGCCTGGGTTGCAGGCTCAGTTCCTAGTAGTGAACATGCAGGAAGCAGCTGATCAATGATTCTCCCTCATCATTGATGTTTCTATCTCTCTCCCTCTCCCTTCCTCTCTGAAATCAATGAAAATATTTTTTTTAAAGAAGAGGCACAATAACCACACTCAGGATGGCCAAGTCTGACCCCCAGTTTTCCCCACACCACCCTGAATCCCAGCAGAGTGTGGACAGACCAGTGGTGACTAAAGTCCAGGAGACCTGCATTCACTCTGCTTCGGGGGAGGGGAGAGGTGGGGGGGGGAGGGGGCCTCGGCACCCACCTGTCGGAGGTTAATGTAGACGGCATTCTGGAGAAATTCAGAAGCCTCCATGCTCCGCTTCTGAATGGCCAGGACACGCACAGCTTTGACGCACGCTTCCAGCTCAATCACTCCCGCATTCTTGTACTGCGGGGAGAGAGGGCCTCCGTGAGTAAAGAGGAAGATGGTCTGTCCCCCACAGCAGCCAGCATATATCCTCCCCAAGGGGGCAGAATCTGTGTCACGATGTCTGCCCCGGAGGGGACCAAAGAGGGGATCTAGATGCCCGTGTAAATGTTTGCATATTCACAACTGATACAACCGATACAGCCACCGAGCTGGGTGTTACCAAGCTTCACAATGTTATCAATGGTTACTCTGCTACTCACCTCACTTCCACCTCCCCTCTCTAAAACACTTAGACTCTCACACCTGCTGCGTTAGGCTGCAGTTCACTCATGTTACTTTGTTGCAAAAATCCCAGCTCCCTGTATCATTGTATCCGTCCTCCACTTACAGGGCTCCCTCTCTCTGATGCTCTTTCCCAGGTACTTGGCGCTGCTTCTGCAACCCTGGGGGGCGGGGGGGGGGGGGGGGGGAATGGAGACAGGAAAGGCCTCCGGGAAGACAGGCGTGGACTTCGCTGCCATCTCAGCGACTGAAAGCCACGGCGGTGCTTCTCCCTCAGAAAAGGGAGGCAGCCTGGCGGGTGTGCGTGTGTGTGTGTGTGTGTGTGTGTGTGTGTGTACACAAATCCAATACAATCAAATCTAGGAAGGGCACAGGTATGTTTTATGTCGCTGCCAATGGGCCAGCCTCCAGGGCAGCTCTCACCGGTGTCTGGAGGAGGAGGTGAGCAGGAAAGGAGGAAAGAGGAAAATGAAGCAAACAAACAAAACACAGCTGGGGAAAGGCACGGCATAGATTTTCTCTTCCTAGCTGTATCACACGCCTGAGGACCAAAAAAAAAGGGTGAGAAGAGACGAGGACCAGCTCTCCATGAACAGAATGAGGCTGCCAGTGTAGCTGGCGTGTGAGCACCATATGCCCGGTCATAACCACCGGAAGCGCCCGTGAGAGAGAACCCGGGAGTCCGTGCGGGGGGATGCTGACCCCGCCAGGTGTGGGGTGGCCCCGGGGCTGCCGGGCTCCAGATCCACTCCTTTCTCAGGCCCTGTGCCCCACAGGAAAGCCTCTCCCCGGAGGTGACACCTCAGCTCTCAGCGGCACGGTGCTCTGGGCACCCTCGGCTGTATTCAGGCTCGGGCGGAGCGGACCCACCGCAGGGCCTGCCCTCGAGGCGGGAGAGTGAGGTCCTACCCGTGTCACAGCTGCCTGTACCCCCAGCATTTCGGGGCCGCAGTCCACGGCAGCCACGACGCTGCTCAGAGACCTACACGCTGCCCACCGCTCTGTCTCCCACCGCTCTGTCTCCCACCGCAGATGGCTCAGCGCTCTGGTCCCTGGAGGCGCCTGTGACTGTAAATGCACAGGGAGCCGGGCCTGGGCTCTGAGGGAGACCGCAGGCTCTCGGCTCTGCCGCCGGGAGCCGGACGGGCGCTGCTCAGGAGGCGCGCTCCCACCTTGCCGTAGTAGGAGATGGCCTCCTTGTACTTCTCGATGATGTCCTCGGGGCTCAGGCAGTTCTTGGCGCGGCCGATCTCGGCGCTGGTGTCGGGGTTTATGCCGTTGGTGGTGAGGGCCCCTGCACAGCGAGAGAAGGGAGAGAAAGAATCTTGTGCCTCTCAGCCTCACTTCCTTGTGAGTCTGACAGCGGGGCACACGCAGATCACACACACCGTCTGCTGAAATGCGAGCAATGAACCGTCTGCAAAGTCCGCATCGCTCACATGCTCCCCAGAACAGTCTCCCCACCGGCATCACATCAGATGTTAACCAGCTCACGATACATGTCCTCTATGGAATGTTTCTAACTCTATATCCCTCTCTCTTCCCCTCTGTAAAAAATCAATCAAATATGTTTTTAAAAATAAATAAATAAAACAAAATAAAAAAGATGAATCGCCTCCAGTGGAGTGGGGACGCGGTGGGAGGGAGAACAGGAGTGGCCCCTCTCTGGGTGAGCTCTTTCACAGTTTTGACGTTTGGAAGGCTGCTGACGTCTATGTGGTAAAACGTATCAGCCAATAAAGACAGGGGACCCTCTGCTGGCTGACACGCAGGAGCCATTAACTATATTCCAAAGGAATCACATGTGACACCACAGGGAGGATTAAGGAACTTCTAAGGAGGGGCCTTGTGTGTTTATCCTCGGCAGAGACAAGAAGCACCACAGACAACCCTGGATTCCACTTGGATGCTGTTCTTACACTGACACAGATTAGCAACCCCAAAGCCACTGTCTACAGAGGCAGGGCTGAGGGATGAGCAACTGTGTGGTCATCGCTGGAGCCAGATGATCCTGCTGGAGGGGAGGCGGTCTGAGTAAAACCGGAAGACGGAAACCCTGGGCCTGGGGGCTGGACCTGGAGACAACGGGTCACCTTCTCACGGCCTGGAAGCCACGACCCTCAGAGCGAGAAGCATCTCAGCCTGGCCGGTGTGCTCAGTGGTTGAGCATCAACCCAGGAACCAAGAGGTCCCAGGTTTGATTCCCGGTCAGG